ATTATATGTAAGCACATGTGCTACTTTCAAGCAGGTGGTAAGCAATCAGATTTCCTTTTCTTCCATCTTTCATCTTTCAGTTCTTACTACGGTGCTACACCCAAAATAAGCCATACCGAGTTGCCCGGTGATTCGTGAATCAATGCCCCCAGCTGGATACCCCGAAAACACACGCCCCGCTTATACCCCAGGCACAAGCAGGACCAACCCACTATCCTCATGTCATGGGGTCTAGGTCCCCGTCCAAACTGGAACTCCAAGCCCCAGCCCCTGAGTCCCGGACTTAGTGCGATGCAAGGACCTCCTAACCCAAAAACCACCGTGACAGTCGGTCCGAAAAGAGCCAAAACCCATGACAAGAGAGTAACAAGTCTTCCAAGCGCCCATACCCAAGTATGTGCTTGGGATAATAAATCTATGACTTACCTCGAGACTTATGCAACGGCTGGTCCTTAACCGACACGGACAGGGAAAAATAGTGTAACCAAGTTATGTCCCGTTGGCTGCAGGACACAATCTCTTACACCCACCAAAACCCAAACCATATCCCTACCCGGTCACTATTTTTTCTTTCCACCATTTATATTTCCCAAGTGATAATAATACAGTAATATATTTCCTATCTCTCGCGAGTGATAGGCAATCACTTGACTTCTACTAGAGTCCTGTAGCATAGCAATCTACATGATCCTGTCATACTAGTAAGACTCATAGAATAAAGATATATATATGCAAGTGGGTTTCATTCAACTCCTCAAAACCTAATGCACAAATATAATTTAAAGTGCAGAAAAGTAGGAGTTATGCACCGGGGCTTGTCTGGGTAAGATTTAATCAGAAGTTAGCTTTCCATCATGGTGACATGATCTCCAAAAGCACCATTTCTCCAGCAACTCTCAACGACTCCACGATCCATCGACGTCCCTATTATGATATGCAGTGCGATGCAATGCAAAGACGTAATTAATCAACTGCAACCGTGACTTGTAAAATACGATTTACGTCTCTCAAGTTAACGAGCTAGTTCTAACGATGACCGTACTTAGGCTACATATCCATGTTGTCGAATAAGGCGTTATTTCTCAACAAATATTTTAGTTATACAAACCCAAGTTGTTTCTTTATTTCATTCTATCGATTTAATCATTATTCGAAATAGGGCATCATTATCTATCTAGCAACTAATTATTCCAGAGCTACAAACATTACAGTGAGTAGCTAATAATATTAGTAATTTACTATAAAATTCTTAGAGTCAACACTATCACCGATTTATCATGGAAATTTCTACAAGTTTACCTTTTAACGATATTAAGCATGTTAAAATAATTAGAGCAACCCTAAAAACATACCGAACCTATGCGAACAAAATACACTATTAGATAGATCATGATTTTAGGAACTTAACAAACTTGGTTTGACATTTTTGTGATTTTTCTACACTTTATTTTCAATTTTCGAAGAGCACTAAATTAACAAATCAAAACAACGCAACAAGAAAAGGCCTAGGCAGCCAAGCTTGGCCCGCAGGCGCACACGTGGCCCAACGCGTGCGGCACCAGACCGGCCCAAGTGGGCGCGGTGCGACTGGCCTAGGCGGGGCAGCCCGACGCATGAGAGCAGGCCGGCCAGATGCCCAGGCGCGGCGCGCGGCCAGCGGCCCAACAAGGCAGCGCGGGAGATGGGCGCGAGCGGCCCAGCCAGAACAGCTGATGGCCCAGCGACCAGGAGTGGCCAGCCCATGCACGGATGAGCCCAGCGCATTGGCAACTTGCATAAATGCCCCTGAACTTTCTCTAAATCAACTAAGCCTTTTCTAGCGTTTTTGTAAAATGAACATGGTAAAATATTCTATTTGTGTTCAAGTCCTTTTCTACCTCAAAATAGAGTATCGCAGGGCAGAGGAACCGGCCGGCGGCGGTGCTGTCGCGGAGCAACGTGGTATGCGATGGCTGTGGCGCTGTGGGGCGGCTCCCTGGCGCCGGCGGACATGGCGCTGCTCGTGCCGAGGTAGGGCGCAGCGTCCTGGCGGACGTAGATGTGCGCACCTTGGCAGTGCGGACCGAGGCAGGGCATGGCCCGGCCGGCACACGTGGCCATAGCAGGAGCGACGACCCTGGCACCCTGTGGTGGCGAGCCATAGAGGAGGAAGACATGGCCTTGAATCAGCCCCCGGTGTGGTCATCCACGAGAAGGCACAGCGAGGCAAGTCGGTGCCATGGGGGATGGGTGACGTCGACATGGATGGCACTGCAGCAAGGCACGGCAGCATAGCGGCATAGCATCGGCACCGGCGTGGGCATGGGGCGCGGACCATGACGGAGACGCGGTGCAGGACAGCGCGGTCAGTAGCGGATGAGCAGCGCGCGCTCGAGGATGCCTCGGCGGCAGCGGGAGCGCCGGTGCTACACGTGGGCGTGAGGCGTGGCTACGGCAGGGGCACGTGACGCAGGGAAGAAGAGGAGGGCGCCGGTGCTCATGGAGGAGAGGGGATGTGGTGCACGGCAACGCGGTGGCCGAGCACGGAGGTGGAGCAGTGGCGCGGGGACAGGAGCGTGGCCACGGCAGACGCTGCAGGTGGGAGGCACGGGAGGATGGCGCAGACCCAAGGAGGGGCGAGCAGGAGCTGGGGCAGCAACTCCAGCATGGGACCATGGAAGCTGCGCACGCTCACAAGGAGGAAGGGGAGAGATGACGATGGGCGGCTAGCACGGCACGGCGACGCCGGTGCGAGGCAAGCAGAGGAGGGGGCCGAGCGAGAGAGCAAGCCAGGAGGGCGAGCAGGAGTTGGGACGCCTCCCTTCGACAGTAGAGAAGAAAAGGGAGGAGGAGGCAATGCGAGGGAGGCAACGTCGTACGCGGCCAGAACACGGACGCGGGGGTAGGATAGGACAGCGCGGCATGGCCGGCAGCGGTGCACCAACATGCGCACAGGGAAGTGAAAGGACACAGCGTGGTAGGGACAGAACCACGTGCTCTCCTAGGGGAAATGCAAGCAAAGCAGTACACGGCAGCAGCAGCCTGGCCAACTTTCTTTAAGACGCTCTCTGAGAAAGGGCACGAGGGAGAGAGAGCAGCGACCCGGCGACGGGACCCGACAACGCGGCGCGACGCGAATAACTCTGATGATTGATTCTGAGCGGGGAAACACACCACCGTATTCAAGCGGCCAGGACAGCAGCAGTGCCGTAGGCCTCAGCCAGCCGCAGCAGCAAGACGACGGATGGAGCAATGTAGTGCGTGGCCAGCGCAGTACGAGCTACAACGGCGACAAGACCCTGCACATAGACCACGTCCCGACGCGGCTAGCCAGCATGAGATTAGTCTCAACAAAGCTCGAATTTAAATTAGATTCAAAGCTATATATATATCATTCTATTTATTAATGGATTTTATTTTATTTATAAAAATTGTTTTTCATGCTTAATCTAATAGAATAAACTATTCGCTATCTATTGGCTAGAATTGTCATTCGATATTCCTAAATATCTTTACGCATGGAGAAATTTAACTTGGTGATGATTCGAGTCCACAAAACTGAGTCACACATGATTCACTTATCACACCAAGTATGTTTTAAATAAAAAAATCCAAGAAACCCGTTTCGAAAAATTTTCTTAGGCCTAAATCTCGGTGCTAAACGAGCTCGTAACACCATAGGTGTTATATGCTGGGCACGACGCGGGCGGTGACGGGCCTTAATGGCACGATGGCGGGCAAAGCATCCAAAATTGGAGCTCGGCTGAGCTGCAATCAAAGCGGGGTGGGGTCGGCTGGAGAGGGGATGTGAAGGCAGAGACGCAAGCACGAGAAATTGATGAGAGGTGCTCACTCTCTGGCTCACCTTGACGTGACACGATGGCGGCGGAAAGCAGAGAGAGAAGAGAGAAAGAGAGCAATGGAACGCAGTAGTGGGCTCGGCTCGTCCTTGCCTTGGCGGGACGCGAGTGGCAAGCTCAGGAGGCCCATGCGCCGGCGCTACGGACAACGTGTGCGCACATCCGACCGGTGTGGCCCACACGCCGTAGTGCCATAAATGGCATGGCGATGGCGGCTCGCCCACGTGCGCGCGGCAGAGGCGACACACATAGGGCCGACAACAGCGCAGAAATGTAGCGGACCGGCGCGAACGCGACGATGATGCGACGGTAGCGTAGTGCGGACGCGACAGCAACACAGCGCCGCCGCGGCGGCACCCAAGACGGCAGCACGAGGCAGAGCAGCAGGGCACGAGCCTAGTCGCTCGCTGCGGCTGGCCTCAGCCAAGCCCAGGCGGCTCGACCGACCAAGCGCGGTGGCACGGTTGACCGCGTGGAACGCGGCCATGTGCGTAGCGTGAGAAGGCCGCACGGTGACCGTGCACCTGGCGCTAACCAACCCGAGACAGTGACACACACGAATTTTAAAGCGTTCAACACGACCAAACGGTTGCTTTAGGACCTAAACCATCTTCACCATGCTCAAGATGGCACATGAGACTACCAAATTGAGTTATAACACTACACCACTCCTTAACCCAATCTCTCACAATAAATTGCTAAACATAACAGTGTCTAACTGTTTGCAGACTTGAAAATTTCTAAGTTTTTGAGCTGAATTTGATTTCCATTTACGATTTCTAAGCTAGTGGAAATATTAGCTAGTAATATCATTTGTCGACCGTGAGTATTTCATTGTCATCTACAAAGTTTATACTTCAAACTTTATTTAAGTATCACATACATATTCTATAGCATTTTTGCTTAATAAAAATTGATTTTAAACCCTAAGTGATATAACATGACTATCGAATCAACTTTCGTTTCGCATTTTAGTTGATCGTTTCGAGTTACAGAAATTGATCTACACACTTTATCACATACATTAACACATAAATATGATGCTCATGACATGTTTTAGTAAATGATTTACGGTGTAACACCGAGGGTGTTACTTATCAATACATGATGTCTATTCTAGCTATAATGCTTTTTACGTACATACTTGGCAAAAAAGCCTCTCTACCGAGGATACCTTGCAGACATCAAGATTTCTTCTTCCATGCTATATCTTCTGCTCCACTCTTGCGTGCTTCGTCTTTCCATTTTCGATGAGCAATTCATCATAACAATGTCATTCTCTTCATTTGTCCCTACATTCGTATCAGTTTGGACATACTTCTTGGATACAAGACCTTCGAGTGCATGTTCCACCTGTCGCATTGTGGGCCGGTCCTTGGCATTTAACTTTATACATGATGCTGCAAGTATGGAGACCTCATGTACTTCTTTGCCTCCCTCATGAATGACTTGAGGATCTAGTATTTCGGCCAGATTTTCTGTAGCAAGCAAGTTGACAAAATGGGAAACAAGGCCATCTCCATCATGGAAAAAATACGAAAATGGTTTCTTCCTTGTTAGTAGTTCCACAAGAATGACACCAAAGCTATACACATCACTTTTCTCTGTAAGGCGTCCTGTGTAGAAGTACATAGGGTCCAAGTATCCAATTGTTCCTTGCACCATTGTTGTTAGTCCTGTTTTATCCATTGGAATGTATCTTGAAGCTCCAAAGTCCGACACCTTGGATGTCATAGTTTCTTCCAAAAGTATGTTACTAGACTTGATATCTCTATGGATAATTGGAATTGAAACTGATGAATGAAGATAGGCAAGAGCACTTGCAGTTTCAGTTGCAATCCTCAACCTAGTGACCCAAGAAAGGGACTTTGGCCCTTCAACATGGAGATGGTCATAGAGCGTTCCATTTGAAATAAATTCGTAAACCAACAATGGAACCTCCGTCTCTAGGCAACATCCAAGAAGTTTCACTACGTTCCTGTGATTAATTTGTGAGAGGATGGCCACCTCATTTATGAACTCATCTATCTCCTTCTGAACAGCTATCTTTGACTTCTTGATGGCAACAACATGTAGATCCGATAAAATACCTTTGTAGACAGTACCATGCCCTCCACCACCAAGCTCACGAGCTTTATCAAAGTTATTTGTTGCCTTTGCAAGTTCATCTACAGGTATGATCATCCTTTCTGCAATGTCTGCCCTTGGGGATACCAATTGTTGCAACAGTTGTCCACGATTTTGCTTGAAAAACTTTTGCTTCAACATTATTTGCCTCTTATGTTTAATCCTTTGGGTCACGAAGATTCCAGCGAGAACCAGAAGCATAAATCCTGCTGCACTGCCAACTCCTATACCGATGCTTATTCCTGTATGTGTGTAGGGTATTAGTAATATTACTCGCTCAATCGATAACAAGAACTTGAAGTCATGGCATCCAATATTTGGACTACAAGGCTTTCTATCTTAGAAGGAAATGAAATGAAATTAAAACACCAAGTGCAACCATGACTATTTAAGGGACATATACAATGCAAGTCTTATCGCTGCTCTAAAAGTCTTATACTCTTATTTAACCTCAAAGTATTTGCATATTTTTTTTCCTAACATCTTTAGATTCTACTCTCTCCGTTCCAAAAAAAAATTATGTTTTAGAATTCAAAATTTGTTCCAAAACAATTTATGTTTTAACTCTTGGAACTACGTTAGTTGGGCCATATCAGCTTCAGATTGTGGTCTTCATGGCTCTGTGCATTTCTTTTAGTTAGCAGCTTATTCCTTAATTAGCATGTATTACCTTTAATAAGTAGGGGTACATATGCATAATTTGAGCACTAATCTATCCTAAAATCCTAAAACGTAATGTGTTTTGGGATGGAGTGAGCATATTGTAATATATACTTGAGTGCCAGTGTGCACTGTGCAGCGAGAATTAAAACCCTATCCACATCATCTAAGCTCAAATAACAAAGAAGCTTGATCAATAGTTGTAACCTAAAAAAGTTAGAAATGTAACAAGAACATATTTTGCATTATGGTACAAGACTACGACCTTGCGTGGGTCATTCAGCCTACAAGAGTTGAATCAAAATGTAATTTCCGTGACAACGTGTCTTGAAATATATGGAATAATATGATGCAACAGAAAAATCTTGTAGACCACAAGTTCGAAAGGCAATTACATCTTGGAGAACTGTATACCTTTAGTCTGTGCTCTTGGAGTCTAGCCAAACACTACCGGAGACCGGCTCTTTGCCGAGTGCCAGGTGGTTTGCCGAGTGTTGTTTTTCGGACACTCGGCAAAGACGCCTTTGCCAAGTGTTCTTTTTTGACACTCGGCAAAGAAGCTCTTTGCCGAGTGTTTTTTTTTTACACTCGGCAAAGAGCTTCTTTGCCGAGTGTTTTTTACACTCGGCAAAGAAAATTTCAAAGCACATATTGAAGCAGTAAATTAATTCAAATGAAAAAGTTTTCAACTACAAAGTTGTATAACTCATCAAGATGTACAATGTTTGTTTTGGTCTTTTCTTCATACAACAAAGTAAAAATAAATTTGTTCACAAATCTAACATATCTCTCTTGTAGTTTATGAAACTACAAGAGAGATATATAAGATTTGTGAACAATGTTAGAACGACCATGTCGGATGAACAGATGATCAAACAACTAAAATAAACTTTGTAGATCTCGAAAAGTTATGAAACTTTGTAATTGGCAACTTTTTGATGTGAAAACATCTTGTCATGCAAAACTGCGTTTGAATTTCAAAATTTTAAAATTCGAACTTTTCAAACGACCTCGGATGAAAAAACAACCAAAATAAACTCTGTAGATCTCGAAAAGTTATGAAACATTGTAGTTGACAACTTTTTGATTTGAAAACATCTTGTCATGCAAAACTGCGTTTGAATTTTAAAATTTTAAAATTCGAACTTTTCAAAACGACCTCGGATGGAAAAACTTCCTAAACTAAAAGTGTAGATCTCGAAAAGTTATGAAACTTTGTAGTTAACAACTTTTTGATTTGAAAACATCTTGTCATGCAAAACTGTGTTTGAATTTCAAAATTTTAAAATTCAAATTTTGTAAACGACCTCGGATGGAAAAACTTCCTAAACTAAAAGTGTAGATCTCGAAAAGTTATGAAACTTTGTAGTTTACAACTTTTTTATTTAAATTCGTTTAGGGCCTCAAACATGCAATTTATACTCGGTTTAGTATAATATATTGGGAACTAAAACGGAATCCAGACACAAGTGAGAGTGTGGTGTAGTGGTAGAGGAGGTACGTGCACAGCGGGAGGTCTCGGGTTCGAATCGCGTCGGCCGCGTAGCCATGAAATCCACGTGAAAAATGTCGTAGATGGGTGGGCGCTGGCCGGTTGGGGCCTCCATCGATAAAAAAAATTCCATTTTTTTTGGTAAAAATTCCCATTTTTTCGGTTTTAACTTTGCCGAGTGTTGGGCACTCGGCAAAGACTTTGCCGAGTGCCCGATAAAAGACACTAGGTAAAGTTGGCTTTGCCGTCACTGTTTTTGGCGAGTGCTGTTCGCCGAGTGTTACACTCGACAAACCATTTGCCAAGTGTTTTATGTCTTTTGCCGAGTGTTTCGGGCACTCGGCAAACTCAAGGAGTCCGGTAGTGAAAAGAAGAAAAAGATCTATGTTTATCTTTAAAAAGTCCAAGTTACTCCATCAAAATATGGCCTATGTCTGTGTAACCCTAAACTAATATTTGATTCGATTTACTCGCTCAACTATTCTAGAGACGGTTCAATTTACCCATTAACAAGACTTAATTTTTTTATTTCTCCACATCCAAGTTGAGTTATAATTCTAAAATTTGTGAGGTGATAGAAAACATCATAACACATTTTTAAAAATACATTATGAACTTTTCATCGTTATGTTTCATACAATTTTATATTTCTATTGTCAAACTTTCAATTATTATTAGATGTCTTCACCTATCAAAATAATGATAAACAGCTATGATGTATTTTGTTTACAAAAATTATGGTGCCACCTATCATCTCATAAAATTTGAAATTAAAAATCAGCTTGAACATGGAGAAGCAAAAAGCCCAAATCCTATTAAAGGGTAAACTAGACCAACTGAAATAGTTTGAGGGAGTAAACCAAACCAAATGTTAGTTTAGGGTTATCTGAACATAGGTCAAACTTGGGTAGTAATTTACACGTTTTTTTCTTATCACTATTATATTTCTTTGATGAAATTATCATTATTATATTATTTGTAGAATGAAAACATTTCAAACACTGTATTAGTAATAAATTTCAAACACTATTATATTATTATGTAAATATGTATTGTGGCATTTTCCTACTGTATTCCTAAACAAAAAATAATAAATACATAAGAACGTCTCCAAAGCTACTTAAAAACACTTGTCAAATCATAGATTATACCAAGTACCCAAATTTAATAGGGAACTATTTTTTTTCCTTTCTCTACCACCTCCAATCAGCCCACCGCCCAGCCGTCCACCCACCGCTGCTGCTGCCTAGCTAGCCGTAGAAGCCTCCTAGCTGTCTGGGCGGACGAGCATGGCAGAGTGCCGGCAACTATGGACAGAGGCGGCATCTAGAGATACCCTGGCTAGGGCACAATAATAAACTAGGTGAGAGGAGGGCTGGGAGGCATGAGGAGAGACTTATCGACCACTTATTTTGGGAGTTAGATACAAAACTGTTGGACGGTCGTTTTTTTCTGTTTGCAAAAAATGCTCGCCCATTGAAAACAAATGTGTATGGAAGGCAATCCATCACTAAACCCGGTCAAAGTAGTTAAGGAAGAGCATATGGGGTACTAATGTACCAATAGGTGGTACCAATGAAGTTAAAAGAAGATGAAACGTACTAACCTGTAGTTGAGGACTTGATGCAGCCATCTCTCACGGTGTAGTTGCCATGGGTTCCTCGAGGGCACTGGCATTTGTAACCTCCAATTGTGTTGATACACTCGCCGAAGCACCCATGGTCTTGTGGCCGCTCACATTCATTGATATCTATGATTGACATAATTTGATTATTCCAACGTTAGTACATAACACATACATTTTCATGGAAACAAATGCCTTCTACTCTAAATATATGTCTTCTTAATTAGGCATTCACACGCTACAACAAATTCAAGTCATTTGCACAATATCAGAAATGATTTTTTTTATTTTACTTTCTAGTTTTTTCTTGCATGATAAGTAAATTCACTAATTTTATATCCATTTTTTTCTCAATAAATGTAACATCTCTCTAATAATTTGATTATTAGCGGAATACATTTGATTTGTAACATGGTCATTTCCTATAGCCTCTTAGAGCATCTACAACAGTATCTAAAAAAATACTCCCAAAAACAGGTTTTCCAACCTTTGCAAAATATATTGGGAGACACAAAAAAAAGCTATAGCTCCAACAGTTTCCAAAATCTTGCGCCTAAAAGATAGAAGGGAATTTTACATCAAGGATCCTAAACTATTTCTAAATCACACTAACCATTTTTTTACGTTATTTCTCTCTTGTACATTTGCATCAGGAACCATGTCCTACTTTTTTTTCTTTCCTACGTCCTTCCACCTCCAGATTGGCGTGACGATATGTGCGTAAATTTACGCGCGTGGAGGTGGGTTTGGGAGTTGTTGGAGATGAGTTTTTTTCAATCTTGCCAAAATTCTTGGATTGGGAGACTATTTTAGGTATTCTTGGAGATGCTCTTACTATTTTATAATAATTTATTATATTTGGTAAAAAAAATTGGTGGTTCGTTTTTTGCCTCTCGACCCACATATGCATACATAGCCAGATCAGTGTCTAGCCTCATTTGATTCCTATAGGAAAAAAAACAATGCTGATTGATCAATTTAACAATATAAATTGCACTCATTTATTTTAACTTCCATTTTGGAGGAGAAAAACTGATTCTAGATTACAGCTTAGCAAAATTGATTTGCATCGCAGACTGAATTTTGAGAACATGTGCAAACTAAAAATTGATATAGGGCATGTTTGGAACACAGGAACGCAAAACAAAGGAATGGAAAAAATGCAGAAATGGAATAGAGTGAAAAGTAGAAAACTACATGATTTGAAAACACATGAATAGAAACTTTGGGAAAACATAGGAATAGAAACTTTGGGCTGTTTGGATTGCAGGAAAACAGAAATGTCACATGTGCCCAAGAAGCAAGGTTTCAGGCTTCAGAACTTGAGAAAACATTGCTGGAAATTTTCCTTTGGGTTTCCTTGGATGCTTTTTTCTTGTTTTTTTTGTGAAACAAAGTTAGCCTTTCCTTTGGAAAGGAATGCAGATTTCCTTTGTTCCAAATAGCAAGTCGACAAATATATGTTTTGTTAGAAATCCACTCGCTATAACAAATTCAAGTCATTTGCACAATATCAGAAGTGATTTGGTTTATTTTACTTTCTTGTCCCTTACATGATAAGTGAAGTCACTAATTTTATATCCATTTTTTATTTCCTAATAAGCGTAAACATCTCTCAAAAAATCTGATTATTTGCATAATACACTTGATTTTGTAGCATTGTCATTTCCTATAGCCTCTTACTATATATTTTATAACAAATCATATTTGGTAAAAAAAAAAATTGGTTGTTCATTTGCCTCGCCACCCACATGCGTAGATAGCCAGATTAGTGTCTGGGCTCATCTGATTCCTATAGCGAAAAAACAATACTCACATTGGTCAACTTAACAATATAAATTGTAGTCGTTTCTTTGAACTTCCATTTTGGAAGGGAAAAACTGACTCTGGATTGCAGCTTGGCAAAATTGATTTGCAGACTGAATTTTGATGTGGATGTATATAATAAATTCCTCACTCTCTATTTTAACTTTGACATTTTCCTGAGCACACAAACTATTTTTAACTGTTTGGACACCATCCGAGTCTAAAACTTCACCCCTTTTATGCCTCTACCGTCAGATCATTTAAAAAAAAACTGCACATCATGTATTTATTATGAAGAAAGGAAGTCTAATGTAAATGAGCATGTGACCACAATACAAAAGGATCACCAAACAAAGCAGAAAAGCTTGGCAGCCTGGCATAAAACAAGAAAAACTCTATGGAGAAAAACCAAAAGTAGTAGATCAAAAGAGCCCTAGGCACCAGAAGAGTAGCACAAGCATCTTGGAAGTAGCCTGAGCCCATGTAGATGCCTCCTCCACGATTGAAAGGGTACGGTGACCAACTCCTGGGTGGAGCATAAAACACCGAGATGTTTGGCTCCTTGTAGAAGCTCCAAACGACCAACACAACCATGGTATTAGAAGCTTTTGTAAAGGATTTGCCCTCACACCTACATCCATCAACTCACCAAACTATGATGGGGAAATATGTGGTATAGCTGGCACGATGAGCTGCATAAGCTGAAGAGACCTAGGGAGAGAAACAAATCTCCGTTCTATATATGGAGTCAATGAGTAGGCAGTCAAATATATAGTCTACGACTTTTGTGCACAGAGGGCTTGATATCATCTTGGAGGTCATGTCTCTAGCATCTCGTTGTTCGACATCCAAGGATGATGAAAAAATCTAGCTAGACAAAAACAATTGGGTCCATGTTTTCCAAATATTCTAGCCCCCTTAACCTGTATTTTACAAAGGAAGAAAGCTTTGTATAGTAGGATGAATAAAAGGCAAATTTTCCATCAAACAACCACATCAAAGTCCAAACAAAAACTATGCCCTCCTCTATGAGAGATAGATGTGTCAGAGTCTTACATACACCTGCAAATATTTTAAGAAACCTTGAAGAGATGGAGTGCCATTAACATCTTTGATATATAGATTATCAAACATGGCCTACCAAACTATTTGGGTGGCCATGATTTTGTCCTGAATAGAGGAGCAAAAGGCTAGGAAACTTCTAGCAACGATGCTCCAACAAGTAAGTGGTATAACCAAAAGAGGGCACGCCTCCCATCTTTGATGGCCATGGAGATGGAGGTCTCGAACATGGCCTTGATGATTGCATGCATCTACCTTGACAAATAGTTCTACACATATGCATAGCCAAATCCAGCACATGTTGTATAAAGCCTAGCTAAGAACCTTGAGATTGGGTTTTCCTAGCCCCAGGCTCCTTGGGGAGGCAAGCCCTCACTAAGACACTGCATAGTTGTGCTAGAAACTACATTGGATCTAGTCCAAAGGAACGCCTTGCCAAGGCGATTGATGGAATCATCTACCCAATGACAGAGGATGGTGGCAATATCAACGTAGACAGGGATGTTGGAGAGAGTGGACTATGTGAGGATGAACCTAACCTTCTTATTAAGGAAGTTGCCTTTCGAGCTTGGGATATGACCAGCAACCTTATCAACTAGGGGCTCAAAGTTTGCCTTTGAGATCTTGCAAAGTGAGATGGGAACCGTTGACCCCTAGTATTTGCAGGAGAAAGAACCACACAAGGTAGAATCTCTTGCTCTCGATGGATTAGAAAAATCTAGAACTTCACAAAGTTGGTTGCTAGTCACGAGGTTCCCCTAAAGAGAACATGACTTCCTTAAGTAGGGTCAGGTCTAGTCTAGGGGGTCAAGAACACCACATTGTCAATGAAAGAGATGCCTAATGATGAACAATCTATTGGTGAGAGAATCCCCCTTGCATCTATTGCATCAGTTACTAAGAGGAAGAACATGGAGGGGTTGTACCCCCCTCCCCACAGGAGACCACAGACATGGTAGATGCGACAACCAAGGGTACCATTGATAGGACCATGCTTCTGGCCATGGGTACAATGATCGGAATCCCTACTCACTAAGCTATGGAGAAAGCCATGGTCTAGAGGGTCCAACTGAAAGACCAAAGAACAGAGTTGAACGCCTTGGTGATGTCTAGCTTCAAGAGTAGTTTAGGTTATTGTAGAGGGATTCAAATGTCCTCTACATGTATATTAAATTGTCTTGGATGAATTGGCCCTTCATGAAGAAACTACAATGGAGGTTATGGACGATACGACCAATGTGTACTACCAAGATGTGCATATCTAGCCCCCCTAGAGAAAGAGTGGGCTAAGGCCATAGAGTCTGAGTATCACTTAGGTATACTTGATACATAAGACATAGATTGACTATATACTTAATATCATGGAGACCTTGTAACCAATTGGAAAACATATCTACTAACAATCGAGGACAATAGAGCTTGGTAACCCTACTGGCTAGCTCCCAATTGGGTATCCAATCATTCACCATGTATATTGGGCACAAGCAATAAATCCACCAAAACATGACATAGGGTATTATGTCCTCATGACGCCCAAAACCTATATAAATTATCATGTATTGTGCCACCATCTAACTCTACCTCACACAAAATGCCCCTTAACCATATTGCCAGTGACAAAACACCAACAATTGATGTGCAAAATAGGTGGTTGTGTGTGTAGACCGAGCTATGAAAGCTAGATGGATCATCGTCGACTTTTCTCTAAGCTAGGTTTTTTGCATTTGGAGACTAGACTTCATTGCCATCAAGGCAAACAACCTTACCCTTGTGACCACCTTCACTAAGGACTAAACCTTCCACTTTAGAAAACTGGACTTGATCATCGACAAGAAGTTTAGCAAACCTCACCTCCATGACTCAATGCACAACTAGCTGACATGGGCTCTGCCATGTTCCCCACTTGGAAGTTCATTTGGGCTGCAGAACTTGGCTTCCACTGTCCATGAAATCACACCCAAAAAATGGATATGCACCCCATACATAGGTCTTCGATCAATTTTATGTCTCTTGACTGGTCAGCGTGTTTAATAAGTTGTGACTTCCTATCCTCAAATACGGATTGGATGTGGACAATAGCACGGACAGCTATTCCCCCTTTTGGTGCTCTTTGTCCTAACAAGAGGAAACTTCAGAAGCTCAGTACTAGAGAGAGCTAGAAGTCAAACACAACCAGCTCCTGGCCAGGCAAGAGCAGCTATACGCTAAATGTTGATGTCCGCCAAATGAACAAGTTTGCTCGAATGCTAGGCGGTAGGAATGGAATGGGCCAGGTTGACCCATTGAGTAGTTTATCCGATTCATAAAAGTAAGGCCAATGGCTCACATGGGCCGGCCTCAAAGCCTAAAATAGGTCAATAGGGCCAAAACCTATTGACCCAATCGGTAACATGATGGATTGATCTAATCATTACATAACAACCTTTTCTGAAATTTATTGGTCTTTTTTTTAGAATAAGCACTAAGAGACTATGACCTATGATAGCACAAAATATTTGGTTCGACTAATTCTATCCATTGAGACAGGAAAGTCATAGTCTTTAAGTGAATTGGGTTGAGCCATGAACCTTAAAATTTACCTTGAAGCCACGGGGCTGGGTTCAAAGCCAGGAGGGGTCTAAAGCAAAGGTTGTAGGTCAACCCATTTCCATGCCTAGCAGAATCAAGACCTTTGTCATGGCAGGGCCAATGGGGTTCTCATGGACACTATCTGGCTCTCTAAAAAAGACCCGGCCGGCTAAACAACATCACCACACGGACTGACTACGAGCAAGGAAGGAAGGGCCAATTGCTTGAAAGCTTCTGATGAGTCCTTTTTGTCTGATCGAGTATTGTTGCACTACTGCCAGACATACAACTGGCTCAATTGTTAGATTCTCTTCTTCATCTCTCATAATCTAATAATTAGTTTGGAGCTCTTGCATAATTAGTTCATATGAGACCCTGCAATGCTTCAACTATGTCTAATAATTAGTTTGGAGCCGTATAGAATGCGTGCACACCCGCAAAAAGGCATGTAGAGTAGCACCTCATGTCCTGGGTTCGGCTTCCCATGGGAGTGAATTTTCTATGATTTAACGGCGTTATACTTTCAGTGGTAGGCAACGCTCTCGTCGACAGTGAGGCGTCTGTGGTGACTTTGTCAATCTCGAGGATTTGTCGGCCCAGTCTTCGAAGATGCTTATAAAGGTAAGGTTTGTGTGCGTGCGTTAATAGGGGTGAGTGTGTAGGATTTAACGGCGTTATGCTTTCAGTGGTAGCTTATAAAGGTAGGGTTTGTGTTCATGCGTTTATAGGGGTGAGTATGTGCGCATTGTGAGTGTCTGTGTTATACTATATGTAATTCGTAAAAAATGCATGCACACCTAGCATGTTGTGCATAGTGAGGACTACTTTCATTCTCGGCAGATTCAGGCTCGGGTATATATTATTACCTCTGGTGGTGCTAAGGGTTTGGTAGTTTGAGATGTAGGTTTTGGTATTTTGACTTAAAAGCTGGCTTTTTGGCATTTGGCTTTTAATTAGGTATTGGTTTTTTGTTATTAGCTTTTCAGCACACCAAAAATTAGAAAAGTTATTCTCAATGTGCTTTTCAACTTTGAGTTTATTTTCTCAGAAGCGAGCTTTTGAGCTTTCTAAAAACCAAACTCGATGACTAAGAGGTTTATTTCAGCTTCTAACTTTTGGCAGATAAAAGCCAGATGCAAGATGAAATAAACAGACCCCAATAGCATCTCAGCAGTACTCCAATACATCCTCTTATATCTATAAAACTATTATATTAGGGATATCTATGTTTTTTCCTTGCTCTCGTAGTTTCTCAATACCTCTCCTTGTTTTTTGTGGTCACTAATATTTTTCTCATCTCCCCTCAAATAAAAGGAAATTATATTGCCGCAATAGCTTGGAGACCACCCTAACTACCATTTTTGAACTATCTTTTCACCCGCACACTTGTGGGACCTATCTTGCACATGGGTATTAGAGGAGATATATTGGGTTAATATTGTAGCAACTTTCCTAATATTTAAAAAGCAATAGTAATAAGTTATTAGAAAGCCGGTAGAGATTTCGATCTCCAATAGCAAGTATAATAGCAGGCTTAAAGCTGATTAAATGCTAAGGCGGAGGAGAGAAGGGAGAAGAGAGAGGAAAAGCGGGTTGTAAGTTTATAGTCGGCTTAGACACAACAACCAAAAAACTTTATAAGAGAGACAATTAGGCTATGTATTAATAATGAAGAGCTAACCACTATATAAATAAGCTAAAAGAAAGCTTAAATGTCTTAGAGCAGGTCCAATAAGCTTGGCTTTAAGCCAAGACATGTTATTAAGAGACAAGCTTTGCAGACAAAAGATACAACAATTTGTCTCCTCTTACGGTTAAAATATTCCTTCTTTTATTAAGTGGGTCCTACATGTCACTATTTTTTCTTTACATGTTCATCCTTATCCTCTTTCTTCTTGGCAAGTTCCTGGTGGATGAACACGCCGAGCAAGCTCACCGTTGGCGGGAGGCCACCTCTCACTTGCCCAAGAACCGACGAGCACATCATTGGCTCGCTCTCAGGTACCGAGCTCGCTGGCAGCCATGGTCACGAGCTCGTATGCCCTGGCCCACCTCGTTATGCCTGTCTTGGCTCGCACACGGTCGCCTTGGCTCGCACACGGTCGCCGCGGCGTCGGCGGCTGGAGCAGCAGCCAGCAGCCGCCAGAGGCACAGCGAGTCGCGCAGATGGAGGTAGCCGACGCACAAAACCTGCAAGCGGCGGCCTGCAGGCGTCGCGAAGCCGACCCTGTGGGCGGCCGACGGCGGCGCGAAGCTGGCCAGTGGCGGGCGAGCGACGAGCTGTGTCGCGGACAACGACGGCCGGCGAGCCTACGGCCTGCGCGCGGCTGTCATTCATTCTAGAGTACGGGACACGGAAGTGGTGGCGGGCCCCGCAAAACTCGGGAATAGGGCTAGCGCTCGGCGCCAGATCTTGCTACAAGCAGCTCGGTTATTCGGTTTTCTCTCTCGTCCACGTGGCTTGGCTATGACACAAGCTGAGGTGTCTTATTGTACCTGTTTTTATATTGATCTTTCTCTATCGCCTTGTTTAGTTCTATGTTGTAAAATTTTGAGTGTCACATCGAGTGTCATGTAGAAATGTCGCATGGTTGTTCAGATACTAATAAAAAAATAAATTATAAAATAGCACATGTATTACTGTAGTACTTTATTGTCAAATTATGGACTAATTAGACTTAAAAGATTCGTCTCGTAAAATAGTCGTAATCTGTGCAATTAGTTATTTTTTTAGCCTATATTTAATACTTTATATATGTGTGAAACATTCAATAGAATGGGATGTAAATTTGCTAGCCCACGCACATGTCTGAGCCTGACCTGCTGCGTGCCACCGTACCGACGACGACTTAAGTTAATGTGCCTAATAATGCAAGTCGCCTAATAATGCAAGTCCACTACTCCCGTCGTTTCACTCGGTCTAGGTGGACCTGGCTTCTATTCATATGAATGACCCAGTTGCATATCCAAGGATATAATTAAGTTCGGCGAATTTCAAGAACAATTAGTTTACTGTCATATATATCTAGCTAGACTCTAGTGTCAGTCATTCGGACATTTTCCTTCCGAGTTGACAAAGCAGCCTCAGACAAGGTCATGGAGTTCAGTAAAAGATAGATCTTGATTCACAAAGCAGTTTCAGACAACGTCATGGTTTTCAGTAAAGTATAGGTCTTGAATCACGAAGCAGCTTCGGATAACGTCATAGATTTACTAAAAGATACTCTCTCCATTTTAGTAATTCAAGTCGTTTTGGGCGACAGCAACACGATCTCCAAAGCATAACTTTGACTTCTTATTTTTATAAACAATATTTATTAGAAAGTGATATATGTATATTATTATGAAAGTCCTTTTAAGACAAATCTATTCGTATGGTTTTTATATTTCTAAACTCAATAACTTAAAAGTTATTCATGATTTATATTCCTAATGTTTGATCAAGTCTTATCCAAAACGACTTGAATTACCGTATGGAGGGAGTACTAGATCTTGATTGTCACATCAATTTAATTATAGAATCAAAATCTATTTTCAATAGAAGCAAACTATCTTTTTCGAATAGAAGATAAAAAAAAGTTGAAATAAATGTTGTATGATTCAAGTACGGCTATAAACTTGGTAACCAGCACCACAGGATTGGCACCATAAAAAAGGCCATCGTCAAGCACGTATGATTCGGGCACAAAAAACGTTTTATGATGAAGGATTATTAGAGACCATTCCATGTGAGAACCAAAAAAAGTTATTGATTGAAACTAACTGTGAACATATTCAGTAATCACTGAAAATTTCATGTAGAAACCATTTGTGGAAACCACCATCAGGCACATTAGTAGTAGAGAGCTGGAGTAACATGTAACTAACCTTGGCATCCATGGGCGAGATAAGGATTGCCGTCGTAACCTTGTTGGCACTGGCACGTATAGCCCAAGTTTCCGGCCGCGCACACGCTGTGGTCGCTCTTGCAGAGCACGCGGTCTGCGTCGGCGGAGCATGCCGTAGTGGCGTTGGCCGGCAAGTTGGGCAGCGGTGGAAGGCCCTGCCTGACCCCCCACAGGAGGACAAGGGGCACCTCGAGCGCCGCCCTCGGCGGGCTCTGCTTCACGCTCAGCAGCTCGTCGGGCAGCGGCCTCTGGTCGAACCAGCCCTCCTCCGCCACGAACACGTAGGTCGGCAGGAACGTCAGCGCCTCGCTGTGGTTCCCGGCGTCCAGCCACCTGAGGCGCACCTGCGTGGGGGAGCTGTGGTAGCTGATGGGCGCCTGGCAGCACGCCATGCCGGAGCAGTACTTGCTGCCCGCCCCCGTCTGCCCGACGCTGTCCACCTTCTTGTTGCGGAACGTGCAAAAGGACGCGCAGCCGCTGATGATGCCCGACCTGCCGGGCCCGACGCCGAGGTCCTCCACCAGCGTCGCCACCAGGTTGCACCCGGAGAGCACCAGCTCGTTGCCGTTGGACAGCATGTAGCCGTGGTTCATGAAGCTGCCGCCGAAGGAGACGTTCCGGTCTGAGGTGATGCTGGCGCTGTCGATGATGGAGCCGCTGCGCACCACGCGCACCGTGGCGTTCCGGAGGGAGATCTCGGCGACACGGAGCGTGCCGTCGCCCAGGAGCAGCTGCCCGCTGCTCCGGTCGCAGGTCAGGTTGAACCCCGGCCAGTAGCAGCGCGGCGGCCCGAAGCCGAAAGGGTACGGCACGCTCACGCCCCCGCAGCTGGTGTCGCAGTCGGCCAGCCCTATCGGCGCTGCTGGTGCTGGAGACTCTGCCGCGGCCGCCGCGATCGCTAACACCACCGCGAAAGCTGCTGAGCCTATGGCCATTGAGTGTTGTTTGTTCACTGGACCACTTCACTTACTCACCACTGCTATTGCCTAATCCTTGCTGCACCTCCTGTTTATATAACGGTAGTGCTAGCGCCCGGACATTCGCACGTTGTACTCCATTTCGCGCTCCACGCAGGGCCCGCGCCGCCCGAGCGACAAGAGGGGAAAGGTGCTCGGTGCCTCCGATTCAGAAGGACCTGGCCGCGGCGTCGAATGGATGCCCTGAGACAATGCAGCAGAAGGTGTGGGGAGGAGAGATGCAACACCCGATCTACTTTTGAAACATCCAAATACAACAACTGCAACATATGTTTGAAGACAGTTGAAACAATTGAAACATGCTTCTGAACACACTTAAAAGAAACACCTGAAAACACTTGGAAACCATTTGTAACACCTCGGGTGTTAGCTTTGCATAACTTGACTTGCATAACATGAGCATGAGCATCAAGCATTCATAAATCATCATTTACAATTGAAACATCTGATCGAAACATATGAAACATTACTTGTTATTCCGTGTTTCTTGGAATATATGCATATGATCATGTGTAAATAAATGCTAGTGTGTAATGTTGGTCACTATAACACCTTAGCTACACTTAGATTAACAAAAGGAACCTTGTTCATGAAGGCCACATTTCATGATCAAGCACTTAAGCGATATTGCATGTGTTGACCTGAATAGCTATATGAGTGACTACTGCATGAAATGCTTAAATGACCTTGCAAATTGTTTAAACATGCTTAGGATATCATTAGGAACAACTTTGGTATTTAGTGCTAAGGCTAGTTTGGTCATTTAGCCATGGTTTGTGTATGTATCATGATTTCAAAGTGACATGTTTGACTAAAGTTGAACTAGGTGTTAGGGACCTTGCATGGAGGAGTTCACTAAAGCAAAGTTGTAGTGTTTGACATAAGGAACAACTTTTATTTTTATGTCATGGACTAATTTAGCTTCTAACATGTTTGAATTGGACTCACAAAAATCAGCTTTTCACTGTTTTCAACACTTCAAAAAAAATTTCTAAGTGTTTGCTCACTAACAGCCTGACAGCCGGACTTTGGAACGAAATAACTCGAGTTTGGTCGAGTGTTGGAGCATGATCCTTTAATAACATTTGTAGCTGGTACTTAGGACTACGAAAGTCATTTAGATCATTTACGAGTTGGAGCCACGGATTAGCAGTTAAATCAACGAGAAAACTCGTCGTCAGGCTCAGCCATTGCGTTTCTGACTAACTGAATCGCGACGTCAATGGCCGACCGGCTTCAGACATCGCGCGCCGCGTGTCCCCGGCGACGACGCGTCGCCTGGCGCAATACCTGACCACAAGAGCGAGCCACGCGCGCTGGCGCGCCTTCATCACCGCCAAGACCGCCGAGTCACCCAGCGCTCCCATTTCCTTCAAGCGTCCCTTCTTCCCATTGCAGCAGTGAAGCGCGAGCGCCCGCAGGCTCCAGCTGTCGCCATAGCCGCGCGCAGCCCGCGCCTAGCCACTCCAGCACCACCACCAAGCTTCACCGTCTTCTCAGCGACCCACTGCTCCCTTCCGTGCTCACTGACCAAGCTTGGTAAGCCATTGCCGCGCGTTTAAGCTCGCCGGAGCTCCGCCGCAAGCCCCGTCACCGTGGCCGGAGCGCCCCAGTCCACCTCTCCATGCGTTAGCTAGTGCGTCGAGTGCGTCTTAGGTAGCTTATGCTCGTCCAAGCCTTAGATCGGACCACCGGGGTCGTCACCGGCGTATTGCCGTGGTCCAGCTCCGCCGTTCCACCATGGCCGCCGCCGATAGCTCTAGGGTCGGCAATAGGACCGGCCAAGTGGCTCAGTAGGTTCGCCTGGTCACGTAGGTCATACCCTGATGACCTCACCGCCGGCGAAGCTCGCCGTCGACGAGCCGCAGCCGCGCAGTTGCCCAAAGACGCCATTGCTGCTGCCGCTCGTCGTGTCAGCTGCGCGTGGGGTCCCCCGACCGGTGGTCCCACCTGTCGTGACAATGAGAGTGAAGGCTAACCCATTTTTAATCCAGCTTTTGATTTGTTTTGTGAAATTTGTATCTTCAGTTTGGTAGCTCCAAAAATTGTGAAATAAATATGATTGTGTTGCTTAGGAAGTGTAGTATTTAGTAAAAATATATGTTCTTGGCTTCCACAGTAGAAATTTCTGGAGATTTAAATAGGAATTTCAAAGGTGCTTTTGAATGTATTCAAATTTGTTTATTTTATATCTAGAGTTCCTGTGCTCCAAAAATTATGAAATATTTGTGGTGAACTAATCTTAGCATGTGTGAACTCTGGTAAAAATTTGAGGACCAGTGCATGGGTAGATTTAAAGTTATAGATTTTTCTTTTATGACTAGTTAATCCTTGCATGAATTTTCATAAATTAAGTATGAGTCCAAAATTCATGAAATTTATTGGAGGTAATACTAGTATCATGTGGATGCTAAGAAAAATATGAAATCTGTTGCTTGACACTTTTCAATAGGGTTTTCCATTTATGCTATTTCAAGCCTTTGCCTTGTCATTTTGCATAGGATGTTCTACTTGGTAAAATTTCATGAAATTTTACAGTAGTCCTTTGATAGCATTAGTAAGGCTCTGTAAATTTTTGAGAATTTATTAAGCACATCTGATATATATTTATTATTTAACCTAGATATTTAAATAAAATAATAAAGGCAATTTAATAAATAGTTTGGGCTTCACCATTATATCATCTTAACTATATTTGGTATGCTTAAACTGTTGGTAGGTTCTAGGTTGTCAAATTGTGAATGATTACATAAAGTAGAAGTATTCTTAATTTATATTGCATGTTAAATCATTTCCGGACTGATTCTAGAGTGTGAGGATTTGCATGTTGAAACTGATGTGTACTGTAAAAATGGTTAATAACAAAGTTGTAGAGAATTGGATAAGCTTTCCAGAAAGTCCTAGATCACTGTTTTTGGATTTGTAGAACTCCGGTTATGAGTGAAACAAGTAGCTACAGTTTGTAGCATAATCGATGCATTGTAGAAGTAGTTAAGTAATAATCGAGAAGAGATATGCACCTACTCAAACAACGTGATGCACTTGTTAACATGTATGCATTCGTAATACTTATACCATACTCATGCATCTAGGATCGGAGGAAGAGATCACGTTGTTGGAATTGAAGAAGCGAGAGGAAGGAACCCATGGGAGGATCCGCAAGCGCGCAGCTCCGGCGTGGGCGAGAACCACGAAGAGCTTCCGGAGTGTCGACCATCGCCTACTTCCTTTCTGCGAGGCAAGCCGGAGCATTATAAGTCTCGATAATTTACAAATGTTTACTTAAGTACTTATAATTGCTTTGCATTAGGTTATAAGAGTTGAATGAAACCACTTGATGCATGTACATTCCTTGTCCAGATATTACACCTTTAACCGGTATAGGTCCGAGGATCGAATATATGCTTAGCCATGCTTAGACCGGTAGAAGTCGGGTGATTTCTGTCACCTGCGAGATATAGGTGGATACGGAACACGGTTGGTTATAATTGCTATCGTGGAAAAGAACCATGGTTAATGTAAATGGAGACCGGGCGGGATGTCGATAGAGAAGCAACAAGACATGGAGGTCTTGGGTGTGAATCTATCCCGTCTCGTGTCGATCAAGGACCGCACCGTTGTTGGAACTTCGACAAGATTGAACGCATGCCTCTCACTTAGCTGGCCGGATAATTCGTTCCGACCGCATGGGCCGAGTAATTCAACTTAGGCGGGAATCGTTTCATTGTAGCGCCTTCCGGGAACGATCGACCGAGCCCAAGGCGGGCTTGGCTCGAGCATCCCGGCATCTGGTGTTCCAGTTGTGCGGCGTAAAGACGGACCCGCGAAATGTGTACCGAGTTGTATCAAAGGTGACCTAAGGCTATCGTAATTTGGTAGACTGGGTTTGTGTTAGGAATAAATTCCAATTTGGTTGAAATCGATTGAATCGCCGTCTCTCCGGATAGTGAGAAACTTGGCTAGCTCCAACATCGTAGTAATCGTATTATGGAACATGATGGTTCGGGTGAAAATGAAATTTTCAATACCGGCTATGGTTACTATTGTATGCTTCTAAATGATACCACATGTTTGGCACAGAATAGTTGCTAATCTAGAAATGGATAGTTATAATTAACTTGGTAAAGGAATCATAATTGTACAACGGATCAGTTGCCTTTTTCGCAAAAATGTTGTCAAGTTCCGTCCACTTATCTGACCTTGCATAATCCTTGGAGTCATTTTATTTACGGTTCATGACGGGTAAGTCTAGTTGAGTACCTTCTCGTACTCGGGGTTTATTTTCCCATTGTTGCGTATGGCTTTGTGTATCATGGTTATTGCAAGAGTTGCTTCTATCCCATTGTGGATGAGGAGTAAGCCTTGGGCAGAGCTTCTTTAGTAATTCCTATCCTTGCTTTTGTGGACCGTGATCTAGCTTGGCATCGTATCAAACTATGTTGGAAACTTTATCTTCGAACTTATTTGCTTCCGCTTTATTTATCAAACTCGGTTTGTAATAACTTTTATTCGTACTACGATGATGAAAAGTATCTGTGAACTTTATGTAATATGTGGCATGTATGTTGAATCTCAGACGATCTTGGTTGTTGTAAATCGTTTATCGAGACCCGTCGTGGTACTCGACGGACTACCGGGTTTATATGGGTTCAAGTATGACAGTGCGACCGCTTGCGGATTGCCATTGTACTTGTATTCTTATAAATTGGTCGGTTCTGTGACAGCTGGCATCAGAGCAAGATTCAACATCAATTGTCACAAGTGTATTTAAAACAAAAGTTTTTGTTTTCCGAAAACCCTTCTCTAGCAACTCATAGTTATATAGTAGGTATTTGAAATCTAAAGTGTGCCAATGATCACTTTCCTTATGCCCAAATTAAGGACTTTTAGGTGGCTACTTAAGTACTAACATGGGGGTTTTTACTTCGTCGTCCATACGACGTGCTATTGTATGGATG